CTGTCTGAAGCAAAATTTCCCAGATTCAAATCGAATCGATTCTAGAAACGAGTGACGATACGCAGCCCTGTTTATTACTGGGATCACTGGGTTTTTCTGGGCTCCACCAGCACAGCAGAGCTACAGATTTGATTTCTTACGATTGAAGGAAACTCCGTTTACACGGAGCACAAATATGAATCCAATTAACAAAGCTCCATTAAAACTGATGCACGATGAAATGAAGCTATTAGGCCTCGAGCTTCAAACAGAGGCAGCGTCTGTGTTTCACACCCGCCACGAGCGCACAGCAGCTGCATTATGAGCACCACCCAGACCGCCTCCGCCTTTTATATTTGTGCGTTTTCCACTGATGTCCAAAGACGAGCTCGCAGTAAGACAAGAATCCAACAGAGTTTCTGTAATGGTGCGACTGCGAGTCCTAATGAAGAAGGAAGGAAAAGCTCGATCACGCGAGAACAGACAGACTCCAAGTGTCCAGAGCAGGATGTCAAACTCTTCTTCTACTGTGGGAAACAAACAGCTCACTTTGGTCTCAGGCCGGACCAGCGAGCGCCGCGTCAGTGTGAAGACGTTCAACGACACGTCTCACTTTGAATGCTGCTGTCAGACGATAAGAAACGTGTCAAACTCTCGACTGTCCTGTGATCACACAACCTCTCTGCTCATTTTTGGATTTTCTTTCCAGTAATCTATTTTAAAGTCAACAGTTTTTTATTTAAACCTTATATTACATAGAATAGAATAAAATAGAATAGAATAGAATAATCCTTTAAGGGGAAATTTGGTTGTAACAGCAGCCAAAAAGACACATATTACCATAACTGTTACTATTATTATTATATTACTAAATCACCTGCAACCTGAACGCACTGTGGGGTGGGTCTTTATCCCCAAGAAAAGAAACAGACTCTGAAATAACTTTCAAGAATTGTCCACAGACTGGAGTCTTTGCTGGGCCAATTCTGGCCCCTGGGCCTTATGTTTGACACCCCTGATCTAAAGCATATTCAGATCAGCTGGAGGGCAACGGGGGCAGCTGTGCCTCCGACCTGAGGAGACAACCTGAAACTGAGTATCGACCGATTCCCACCAGAGGGTCGTTTATAGATTCAGTCCGACGTGCACTTCAGGCTGAGTCGGGCTGAGGTTCAGGAGAGAGGAAGGAAGGGAGCAGGAGACACGGAGACAGCGAGGACAAAAGTGGGAGAGGTGAAATGATGAACTTACTCTGGAAACTAGCAATGGACAGATCTCCTGAAAGGCATGCAAAGGAGAAGCACAGAGAAGTCAGCGTCCGTGCAGGAGGAAGACTCGGGTTCAGCTTCTGTCCCAGCTCATATTCACGACACGCCCTCTGACACCACCCACGCCCCATGCCACGCCCCCCGACATCAGCCACGCCTCGTGTCCCGGCCTCCGGTTCCTTGCCCGGCCTCCGACCCATGCCACGCCCTGAGTCTGACGATTATTCATCTTTAACCTCTGGTCACAGTGGACCTCCCTCATCCATCCCTCAGTTCGCCATCGTCAGCCTATCAGACTTTAAGCTGGGTGAGTAGTGACGAAGATGATGATGAGTGGCTCAGGGTCACTTCCTTCAGAGACGAGGAGAGGGGTTCGAGCTCTGCACGCTGACCCAGATCAGCAGATCATCAGCAGGAATAACAAACACGCTGGACGAGCGCCCAAACCTGATGGCAGGCGTAGCGTAGTGTAGTCGGCAGTGGCTCCTCTCCATCACTCCGTCTCTATTCTGTGTTTATTCTGTCTCTACTGAATCTCTATTCTGTCCTTTGGGAGTGCGCTGAGAAGCTGGAAGGAGCACTCCGAGAGTGAGGCAGACAGTGAAGAGGAGGAACTGAGGGCAGCTACGAAGAGGATGAAGATTGGACGGTCCAGATAAAACACCTGTGCAGGTACGGAGCCGTCGAGGAGAGAGGCTGGTGTGTAACTGACCTAAAGTAATGAATGAATTAGTTTCCCCTTTAAAAGACTTTAGTGAGCTACTTTCCTTTCTGTTGTTATTTTAGCGTCGAGACGTTTTATTGCATTTTATTTCCCATCCTGAGCTCTTTAAACACTCACTGAGGAGCGTCACAGTGAGGGGATGCGCTGGAGGGCATAAAGCGCTGCAGGCCCGGATCAGACGGTGTAAACGGGCTAAAGTGCCTCCACGTGACGATGCAGAGCTCGGCGTGCGAGGACCGACCAGCGCTTCCCTCTGAGAGCAGATGTTTCTGCGTGACGGCGAGTCGAGGCCGTCTGTGTTTTTGAGCACAAACACTGACGCGCTGCAGAGCTGCTTCCTAAAATAAAACGTCTTCATCTCGGCACAAACATCACACAACTTTGTGATTCATTTCTGACGTTCACCTCCACAAACGCTGATGATTAAAGCCGTAAATCACAGCGAGCTGCGGCAAAAATAACCTGCAGACGAGGCAGCCGCCGCCTCAATTTATTTATGGAAATTGATGAAAGAACGAGAACCTGAACCGGGAACGTGCTGGAAACCAAGAGGCGGAGGCGGGAGCTGATGACAAGCATGCACAGAACAGCAAAGAGCACCTACTCTGCAGACTGGGCAGGTTGGCGTCCTCTGGTTTGGTTTTCAGGAGATGAGGGAGGCGAGTGTATCTGTAGCCAAAACCACAACCCTGAGGAAGAGAGAGGATGAAGGTCAGCAGAGCTGCAGGGAGACGGCTCCTCTCAGTCAAACTGCACAACAACAACACTGAAGCGTCTGGAGGATGATCGCTGAAGCATCTGCAGCACTGATGCTTCAGCGATCATCCTCCAGACGCTGCTTCACTTCTTGCAGCACTAACACTTAATCAGTGCTGATTTCACTGATTAACAATAAACGATCAATAAATGTTTGTGTTAGACAACAAATACTGAGCCCGAACACGTCACTGTATCTTTGTCAAACGGCCGTAATGACCTAAAGAACGGGTCAAACACTGATTTTCATCTTAAAGAAAGACGCCATGTCTGTGCTGACCGGCCTCTCTTGACCACTCAGGGCATCCGTCAGTCTGTTAAAAGCTTGGCTGTGATTGGTCACAGCCGCTGCTCCACTTTCACCTGAGGCACGCCAGCGTGAACATGTTAACCCTTTGCAAGCTTCCTGTCAACATTATGGTTGCTATAGAGACTGAATGTGTTGGTGCATCAGTCTGCTGATCCTGAGCAAACACCTTTCAGGTCGTTCAGCTGTTGCCCTTCATACAGGAGCTGCTTCTACTCTCCGGCCTCGAGCTCAACCTCGTCATCCTGTAAAGACACTGTTCTGCTTTTGGCTTCCTGTGAAGCTTGTTTTAAATGTGCTGCGTGAACAGACGTCACCAGAGCTGACGGCAGGAACGCAGCAGCTCCTCATACCAGCTGAGTAAGTAAAGTCTATTTAAAGCGCTTTTCACAGATAAAAACCACAAAGTGCTTTAACACACAAGAAATGTAAATATAAAACAAACTGTAAACAAAACAGCAATAAGACAATAAAAACAACATAAGAGGAAGTTAATAAAATGCTTTTCTAAATAAAAATGTCTTCAGCTGTTTTTTAAACAATGAGTCCGTGCAGCGTAGAGACCGTGGGGGAGAACTCCACAGCCGTGGGGGCGCTGCCTGAAAGGCCCAATCACCACGAGTTTTAAAACGAGGGCGCGCTACCACCTGACCTTAAAGCTCGAGAAGATGAATGCTGTGTCAGCAGGTCGGAGAAATATTAGAGACCATGTTGGGCCCTAAAGGTCAGAACTAAAATTTTCAAATCAAACCTAAAACTTACAGACAACCAGTGAAGGGAAGCTAAAACTAGAGTGATACGAGATAACAGTCGTGCTGCAGCTTTCTGCACCATCTGAAGACGATTTAAGGCTGATTTGTTAAAACAAGTAAAGGTTACATTAGTCTAAACGAGAGGAAATAAAAGCATGAATAATCATCTCAAGTTCAGGCTGTGACACCATCAGTCTGAGTTTAGAGATATTCAGTAAATGATAAAAACAGTTTGGAGCAGCTGCTCGAGCGACATCGAGGTTTCTGAGGCTCGATGTCACAGGAGGGTCTAAGAAGCTGATGAGCTGAAAAATCAGAGTTTCTGTCTTATCAGAGCTTAGTTGGAGGAAACTGTCATTTAACCGCTGGTTGATTTCTGTCAGGCAATGACTTAAATTAGACAATTTATAAAAGTCAGAAATCCTGAAGGAACAGTACAGTTAAATGTCATCAGCATAGAGATGATAGGAGATATTTTATAGCGCTTAATGATTTGGCTCAGGGGGAATAAATAAAGTAGAACTGGACCAGGACAGATCCCTGAGGCTCCGTGATTCATGAACAGTAAACATCTCTCACACAAACATGACATTTTAAAACAACAGCAGTAAACAAGTTCTAGAGTCTGTTTATCATGATGCTGATCTACAGCGTCAGAAGCAGAGCTGAGATCCAACAGGACCAGCACTGTGTGCTCTCTGCCATCACGATGTCACTGGATACTGTAAGCAAGGCCGTTTCAGTGGGATGCACTTTACAAAAACCAGACAGGAAAGTGTCCATAACAGCATTGTTATCCTGGAAATACTTAAGTTGTTCTACTACGTTTCTAAAACCTTCGATATAAAAGGTTTGGATATTGGCCTATAACTGTTAGGACGAGATGGATCCAGCTGAGGTTTCTTTAATATTGACTCAACAACAGCTTGTTTAAAGAAGCTGAAACTGAGCCAGTGTGAAGAGAAGTATTTATCATTTCCACAACACAGGGGCCGATGGAAACAAACTAGTGAAAGTGAAGATGGAAGGACATCGAGGGGGCTTGACGTCTGTTTTATATGACAAAGCAGGACGTTGATGTCACAGGAGTAAAATAAATGATTTGTGACTGAGCGCCTCATCACTGACGTGACCCAAACCCACCAAGATGGAGTTTAGGATAAACGCTGAGAGTGTGTGTCTGTGTGTGTGTGTGTGTGT